ATTTAGCCTATCAAAAGCTTTTTCCTGGTCATAGGCCATGAGGGCTACCTTCAGTTCTTTCTGATTGACATATTTTAGGATACTGTCAATAGAGAGCAGGTTGTTCAGGATACTCTTATCCTTCCCTGCCCCCGATTGAGTATCCAATAGTATAGAGTTTAGAACCGGTTTCAGTCGGTTCGCTATAACTTTAGCTATTATCTTATAGTCTACCGTCAGCAGAGAAATGGGACGGTAATTTTTAAGCTGAGTTTTGGTGCCTTTGTTTTTGTAATTAATAGTTAATATAGAAGTTTTCATAGTGGGAGTCAAATTGTTCGAGAAATATACATTATTAATTGTGTCAAAAAGATCGTCCTGCAATATGTCCCAGAATTGCAGGTAAAACTCTTTCGGAATTCCATCAATCCCGGGGGATTTGTTGTTTTGGAATTCCGAAAGAGCCCTATGAATTTCAGATTTAGAGATTAGAATTTTGTTAAGAGAATCAATCTCTGCTGGCGGTAGAGGTTGGAGATTTGATTTGTGCAGGTAATCACCAATTACCCTATCAGAGATCGGGTCCTGAGTGTACAGGTCCTTATAAAAGGCCTGAACAATATCGAGGATGTCTTCCTGGGAGGATTTAATTTTCCCAGTTTTGTCTTCTAGTTTCCTTATCTCCTTTCTTGTCGAATTATCCAATTCTGCCTTTCGAAACATTCCGAGGTTTTCAATGTCGGAATCTTCGAAAGGCAGCTTGGATCTTATCAGAATGCCTTTGTTGATTTTGTTTTCTTGTATTTTCAGGTTAGAGTATAGTGTTTCCAGACGGGTTTTATTTTGTTGGTCTAAAGTAAGGTAAGTTTCAATTTGGTTTATTTCGTTTTGTATGTTTTGAATTTCAGCTTTGATAATTTTGGTTCTGGTTTTTGAGTATCTAATCGAGATAGTTTTGATTTTGGCTTTACCTTCTTCCCACCAGGAGGTTTGGTCTTCATAGTCGGGTTTATTACCCTTCCAATCAGACCA